AAGCACTGAAATATCAGGGAAAAAAACCCAACAAAACAACCAAACAAAATTACGTAAGTGCCAAAAGGCATGAAGAGACTCAAAACTGTTGAGGAAGAGTTCTGCACCTGTATAAAAACCTGTCTAAGCAGCAGGTCTTGGTTTGAAGAGAGTTCTTTTAGGAAATCACCAGCACAAGTGTGAAAGGTGTGAATGGTGAGGTGACAGAAACTCAGGATAAATTCAGAGAAACCTGACACAGGTGGTTCTTATGGATCTGCTTGTGCAGAATAGCGCTATAGTGTAAAACTTAATTATTTTGTAGCACAGACAGGAGACAACAAAATCCCAGGTGCCCGGAAGATGTGGTAACAAATTAATATTCTCTTTGTCTCTGCTCCCTCCTTTTCCCACCCAAAAGAACGAGCTATCAGATTGCATTATCTGGTGGAAGATTGCAGAGAGCAATGGGATGCACGTCCTCACACCTCACATAATTAAGCTGAGAACCTTATTGCACAGAATGTCACAGACACTACAGATTTACATGGGTTTAGGAAGTGCTTGGACAAATTCATGGCAGGAAACATCCCACTGGGGACTATTCAATGCAGAGATGCCACCAGAAGCTCAGGAGATTAGCTAGAGACTGCTAGAAAATGGAAAAATCTTCTGAAATATCAGGATGTGCTTGCCCTGTTTTTACAGATTTTATTAGGCCATCCACCACCATTCACCATCAGAGACTGGATGATCTGATGCAATCTGACTGCCTCTTTTTAACTTATAAATAAATATATTTTGATGAAAACTTGGCTTTTATTATGATTTTTAATTTTTTTTTCAAAATTGCCTAAAAAAGGAGCCCCTTTTTGCAGTGGATCAGATATAAAACATGTAGGAGACACAAGCCTAGGTCATTCCAGAAGGGAATCCATCCCATATTTTTTACCTGTTCTGGAGGAAACCCATAGCCACAGGTGTAGGTTATTTACATTCATAGAATATAAAGTACATTTTATGTCTCTCCTATTAACACTTTCATAAGGAAATGTTCAGTAATACACATGCTAGAGCCATTGAATCCTCCTAAATAATTTTGAAACCACTATAACACCTTCCCTCTCCCCCTCTCTATTTCAGTTGCTACTTTAATATTTCAAGATGAATGTGAAGTCAGAACCACCTTAAAAAAATACCCCACAAAAAACCCAACAGCAATGGACAGGAGGCTTTTTGCAGATGTGAAAGAATTATCAACTTCATTCAATCAGTTATGCAAAGCAGAGAAAAAAATCCAAATATGCTTAGCAGGCTGCTAGTCAGGGTACCCTCCAAGGAGGGGAAGATTTGTGTTTTGAGCTTATTTAGGCAGAAAAGAAATTGATCATCTGTGTATTGACGTGTTCAAACCACTAAACCACAGTTTTGTGAAAATCAGCTTTTAGCACTCTTTTTCATTTACAAGAAAATCTTTGGTGAATTTAAACCAAATTTGCAACTAGGTTGAGTCTGACCAGATTGTCATGGGCAGGCAGCATTTTCAGAAAGTCTTTGCCTAGATCTGTTCAGAATTTGCTCATTCAGTGGTTCCAGGAAGAAGGAAATATTACTTGTATTAGGATTAGGGTGCAAATCTAAGTTTTCCCATTTCTATCAGGAATTCCAAAACAAAGTTGTGTCAAACTGGTAAAGTTGTAATAGTGAAATAGAAAATTTGCTTCCAAAATTATGAAAGATATAAACTGGGGCAGTGAGCAATCCTCAGAATTATAAATTATCACCTTAATACTGATTTTGCAGTTTGAAGTTTGCCATCAGATTGTTAATGGGGTTTTTATTTGCTTCTGTGTGATCAATGCAAGGTTTCGCTCCTTCGTTTACTTCAGATTTTGTTTTAGGTTATCAAAGTTTAAATTAAAGCAGAAATTGGCTTCAGGCAAAAGATAAGTTACATGTAATTTTCAATGAAAAATCTCAGCATAATCCAGGACACTGAGCATTGCCCATGCATAGCTGCTTTGGCTCTCCAAGGTTAGCCAGAACAAAATCCAGCATAATTCCAAGTTATGGAAGTTATATTCCAAGTTAAATTCCAAGTTATAAATGCCAAGTTAAGTTGGGTATGGAATCATAGATAAGGATCTGAGAAAGGATATTCCATTTCTTTGGTTTTTTTTTGGTTTTTTTTGGTTTTTTTTTTTTGGAGCAATGGATAATATTTGGATTTCAAATTATGTTATGTGCTCACTTGGAACTGCTGAAGTGAAAACTCATTTACAGAGCTGGATATTGAAGTGCTAACACGATGTGAGGGCAGTTCCAGGGGGAACTTTCAGCCTTCTTAGGAGGGGCTTGCTGGTGACAAAATTCCTGTGCTGTTCAAAGGACTTCTGCATCCAAAGCAGAGTGGGAAGCAGGTCAGGGGGGAATTCTG